CCTATAAAATGACCACAGAAATTCAATGGTCATTTCATATTTTATAGCCAGTGAGCTTAAACTACTGACTTGGGTGTGTGTGGGGGGGGGTTAAGTGTGTCTGTTATTAAGAAGAGTATTCATATCTAGAAGAGTTGAGCAAAAGTGTTTTTAGATGGAATATTTCCAATACAATTGTACGATGGGGCAAGTTTTTTTTTCAGACTAATTTGACCGTCAATGATCGTTGATACCTCAAAATCATGAATTGTTTAGTTGTTATGTTGCTTTTAAAATACTTCCAGTGTGTGAGGCGCAGGCTGTTCTTGAAGGCATCAACACAATATAAAATTAAAGCTACAGACCATGCAACGAGCACATGTATGTATACACAGTAACAATATTTAGATGTGTACAACCAATAGGCCAGACCCACCTCAAAACAGAAAATAAAGTGTGTCAACCTGTCACAATGCCAGAGGATTCATAATCCTCAGTGGGCGGCTAAAGAAGCGTCGTTGGAAATGTGCGTCTCTAGATGAAAGCAGATACATTGTTACATATTTTATGCCCCGTCTTCATGCTCTTTTTATCCATTTAACATTACGAGTTTATGTGAAATTCCCGACGTTTATTAGCACCTCCCTCTCCAATACTTTGGTTGTAGAGTAATAAATAAAACCCCTGCACGCGCGCTGGACTGGCAGGTTCCCTCACGGTAGAATAACATAAACATGTTTTGATCCGAGAATATCTTAAGACATGTTTGCTTTCGTGCATCGTCTTCGCCTTGATTTTAACAGATAAAACAAAACTCAGTAAATTAAGTAATATAATAACAAATGAGCTCATCAAACTTGCGACACAGGTTACTAACATTAGAAGCAAATATGTATTTCAAATTTGTCCCCCCCCCCCTGCCCCAAAGTATACAATTTAATAAATACATTTATAAAGGAAATATATAATGATACATAGACGGCTGACAATTTTGTCCAAATTTCGTATTTTCGTAATAGCATATAACTATAGATCAGTATGCAGAGCTAGGAACATAAAATACCAACACCAAAAAGCTATTTCAACTTCTAAACTGTAGCACAACTCAATGACACTATATTCAGCGGCGATGCTCATTTATTCAAAAGAGAATGCAGATAGGACACAGAGAGCAGTTAGCGCCATCGTTCTCATGTAATAGAGCGTGAGAGAGTGCTCGTGGCTACTATTATGATTCTGAGTTGTGCAGCGCCCAGCTTCTGTTTTAATCCATGTGTTTTGTTCAAGGACATATTATACAGGAGACCACTTGCCATCAAATAACTATTTTAAATGTCTTTCCTCTACATTTCTGTCTTTAAATCAAGTTTACAAGCAATGGGGCTTGTGGGCACGTCTAAGAAATCATTACAGATTTGATTCGATATGCTCTGCTCGAACTAGGCTATGCGCTAAAACACCACTTTAACGTAGACAGCTGGTGCCTCCATAAATACATTTAAATTTGTATTAATGGCTCTGCTCGTGGTTGTTATATTCGTAGCAACAGCGTTTTGGTTGCAAACGACAGATACAAGCTTCATCAACAGAAATCGAGAAATCACCCAAACACGCAAGAAAAAGGGGCAATAATATTCAATGAATACTGCAGCTGCTGGTGGTGTTTCTGTAAATGCATAATTAATGGCCCAGCATCCCCTATATTTCACATGTAACATTCAAGAATTAATTTGAAACTTATTATCGAGGAGGCAAGTCTGTGGAATTTTTGCGTAGAGGTATCTGTTGGATACCATGTACCACATTGCTAAAACAGACGATACTTTAGGCGCTGTTTTGCTTCAGATGATGGCGCATTCAGCTTGTTATACCGTGGTGCGCCAGAAAGTAGCGGAGAATATCAGGCAGTGACAGATCTTTTGCACTCTTTTGTCTTGTTACTATTACATATTGTATATATTTAGGTGCTTTTACTACCGACTGTTTTCAGGAGCCGAAGTAAAGTTGATTTCTTTTGTGGGCATACGCCTCTTGTAGGCATTTTTAAAATTTAAATAAAAATCATGTTTCCATTCAGTGGGATATTTTGACATTTTCAGGGATGGACAATTCTAATCATACAGTAAAAATCAGCAAAACATAGTGCTGAGGCAGCTTCTTTTTTTAATGTAGAAGTTTTACGATACAATGCAACATATTTAGGAGGTAAGCTTCGACCCTACATTTCAAGGCTAACCCGGGCTTAGAAGGATACAACGTCCCAAAAGACAAACGACATGCTTGATAAGTAATTTTCCCTACAAGTACAAGGGAATGGAACATTGCTTCTGCGTGCCTAACCCTTTCACCACAGACACCGGTTATTTTACGTAAAGGATTTAAAAAGCGAATGACGAAGACATTGCGTCTGTGTTTGTGTCAATCAGAAAGGAGAATTGTTCCTGAATTTTGTCTTTTCCCTTCGTCACTGTTTAATGTTGTTTCTGTAATACGTTAAAAAGTCGCAAAAGCTATCTATCAC